TGAGTCTCTATCTGTCGGGATGAATTAAAAAAAAAATAATTAATAAAACTGAGAATCTTGGAAGATTCACACCTCGAAGGACGTAAGGGTCTCGGTGATCCCGGGTGTTCGCAGCACATCTAGGTGGGCAGTTATTTCACAGAATATTTACCAGGACTGGACAGATCTTCTTCTGTTCACACAGCACAGTTCACAACTATAAATACACCTCTGAGCGTTTTTCTGCTGATCATTTATCAGCTGTGATTTGCACAGATAGAAAGCATTGCTGCCTTCCACACAGAGTGCTCCTCAATAAAAAAAAAAAAAAGGATACTTATTTCAAACACAAAGCATCAGGAAATTACAAGAAAATATCTTAACCTGGCAAAGCTTACTTGCACTGCACAAAGTTGCCATCATCTCAGCTGACTTAATTGCTTTCCTCAAAGCTGCGCAGGGATTCAAGTTGCAAAATATCCTTACACTAAACAATAACATGTAACATTTAGACAAAAATACTTTCAAAAATTCAGATTGATTCCTCCTTTCTCACACCCACGCACTAATCAAATAATACACAAACAACAAAATCCCCAAATCCTTTTTAAGATTTACTGATAAAAAACAAAAGCACCAAAGTAAGCACCTATCTAGTTAGCATAAACATTTGAAACATGTATTTAAAGCCCCATCAGAATAAAAGAACAAAGCCATCAAATGCAGAAAGCATCCCCTAACGGCATGCCTGCAGCCTTGAACACAGTGTAAACACTCTCATCCCTCCTGGGTTCCCGCTGCTCTCTTAGGAGAGCACAGAGGAACACAAAATCATCACAACTGGCTTCTGCACATTTTTCTGACCCAGGCAACAGACTTCAGCTCACTTCTTCAGATTATTTTTAGAGATAAAAAAACCACCAAAACACCTAAAAACCACATCCAACTTATTTATATCTTTAGAAAAAGAATATAATCTCTTTCATACTGAGCTCATTTCTGTAATTGTTGCCACATTCCATTTAATTAAATATTCCACCCTGCAAGAAACTGAGCACTCAACTCCAGTCAGACATTCACTTAAGCCAGGCTTAACTTCCAGTAGTTGATGCACACATTGAAAGTGGAGGGTGCAATTAGCACTTTGCTGAGGGAAGGCTAACGTATTCATACTTCAGGGGATTTATCCCTTAAACAACTAATGTTTACACACATACACCTATATATTTTTATATACACAAATATTCTCATGCAACTCTGAGAGATTCACACATGTAATATTAGGGTCCCTACAGCAAAACCAGTAAGGTTTATTGCTCACAATTATGCTTTTCCATAAGGTGATACAGTAAAAATAAGAAACAGATGTTATGATATAAAATGTGAGATAACAATGCAAAGGGGTTTACAGTAATTTCAGAGAAAACGGTAGAGACTCCTCATGCGAGACGCCATATCCCTCCTCACTGGCTACTCATCTGCAGGATTTGGGAAAAGTCTGACACAAAGCAGAAAGTAAGAGAAGACAGGATGAAATCTGCAACACGGGTGACAACCTAATACAGAGTCTCAATTCCTTCTTAACCTACACCTTCAGCCAATGGCCTCTTGTAGGGTTAATGGTTGAACTCTATGATCCCAAGCGTCTTTTCCAACCTGTTCTATGATTCTATATCTCATATTACTAAAGCGACTTTTGGCGAGACCACCCCTATTAGCTATTTGTAGCACCTTTCTGGCAAGATGTTTTTCATCACCAGACAAATGGCAGACTAAAGAAATCAATAATTATGTGATTAGAAAGGAGAAGAATAAGAACTATTCGAAGGATGAGTTTTTCTATGCAGCGTATACTCTAGGATGTACTGCAGGTGGAAATTTCATTCTGGAAGCCATGGTGTGCTTTTATTTGGGTTGCTTCGCTAAAGCACTTAAAAAATACTTTTCTTCTTAAAACTAACGGACTTTTCTTCCAGATATCACTGCCTGTAGGCATATGTATTCAAAATATATTTAAAATAATAAAAATACTCCATTGAATGGCTGCAACCCATTCCTCATCCATATGTGAGCTTGTGAGGACAACCACAGAGGAGCTATATATGCACAAATCAGGAATCCTCACATTTTTTTCTACAATGCTGAGATTATACAGAACTTCGTCAAACTCATGCTTATAGCATTAATGCCAGTACAACTGTAAAATATAGTTCTACGTTGTCCCGAGCAGATTAGTACTTTGGGGTTTTGTGGTACTTTTTAATACAGATTTTCTTTTAAATGGTAGTGTGGTTCTTTCTACTTAGAATTCCACCTGGCACAAGTTCATTGTTTAATTGATAGTTTTGAGAGTCGCTAACAAACAAACTACTCCCACCATCAAAAAAACCCAAATCAAAACAAAAACAACTTTCTGAAATATTCCTGGCAAAGAGAAGTACTTTTCATTTCCTGTCCTTTTTGGGGTTTTATTTTTCTTTCCCCATTCTGTGTTTGCCTTGTTCATTCTTATTCTGACATCCGAAATATTACCACACAGAAAACAAGTGACTTCCCTGCAGTCTTGGCAGATAAGGAAATCAGCAATGAATCCTGCAAATTCTTTTGTGGTAACAAAACAGTGCCTTAATAATTCCTTAATTAACGGACTGTAAGTGATTACAACAAATCGCTGATTTTTTTATTCCCCCCCTCCCTCGATCGTCTGTAGTTTCTACATGCCGTTCAAAACAGATCGGATGTTTAGCAAAACAAGTTTTTCAAAGTCAACATTTAAGGGGAAAAAAAAAAAAGAGACTAAACGAAGAATACTGCCCAACATAAACAAATAAACAAAAAAAAGTAGCAGGCCACAAGGATAAGAGAGAGGATTAGGGATGAGTAAGCATTGAAAAGTTCAGGCATACTGAGAGGACGAATGTGAGAAAGAGAAGGAATATATCAAAATGCCTTAGACAAGTTTTCTTTGCATTATGAAAGCAATAAAAAGGTGACATGATAAACTGTAGAAAAATTCAAGAAGAGAGGAAAATATTTTGCCCACTGTTATCACATCACTGTGCAAACAGACAGCCCTTAGATTTTAGGAAAGATGATTCTTTGGGATACATCCAAAAACTAACTCACACATTTTACATTTAAAATAGAAATGACTGGAAAATAGGATGGGAGAATATTCTTTTTCCTTCCCCCCTCCCTTTTTTTTTTAATATGTTTTCCCCACAAGCTTTCATTGAAATTAGTCTTGAGAGTTTCAGCGAGATCTCATTTTTCGAAAAAAAAATTAAATCTAGTAGATATTCAGGTTTCCAATCCAAACCTACCAAGTTCAGCACGTGCATGTGCACAAACAGCTTTTGATGATTTCACTGGACTATTTGGCTCAGGGGTTTGTTATAGAAGCTGCTACATATTCTGCTCAAATCCACTGGTTCTAATAGGAAAATTTCCCTTGCAAGGACGAGGTTTAATATATACTGTTTTCCAGGAACACAAGCAATTTACCTGAAGCGCCAGATTCCCCACACCGCTGAGAGACAGCGCGCAGGCATAGGGTTTTCAGAGCCCAAAGGCAGAGAGCTGCCCGAGGACTCTGGTTTTCACAGATTATCTAGGTCTGTTGCACCTTTGTACGATTCCCCTCCAGTCTTTAGTGGGCTTCATCTTCTAATCATTTCTCTACACCAGCTGTTCTATGAATAACCTTCGACTTCCTGAATAAGCTCCCATTTTTCTTCATACATAATTTCTCCTCTTCTCTTTTTTTTTTTCCTTTTTCAAGATCAAGCCTTTCTTAAGGGAAAAAGAACAAAACAAACTAGAAAAAAAAAGAATTTAAATGACAATGAAGATGATAATTCCGCAGCCAAAAAAATTATCAAAACTTGCTAGATGTCTAGCTAAGAACATATAACAGCACACTTTGCTCCTGTACCATTTATCACCATTTTATAAGCTGCAAATGTTTCTGACTGATGTTATTCCCCAACCAGACATCCTACCTTCTACGTTTGTATATTTATTCCTTTCATCATGAATCACCTTACAGCTGTCTTTATAGAATCCTGTAGTATTAATTTCTTTTAAAAATCATTAAAAAAAAATCAACAATTTATCAAAATCTATTGTACAAGCATATTTCCAGATCATCCATCGTGGTGTTATTACCAATGAAGAATATGTTTGACTTAGTATCAGTCTAAGAAGAAGAGCAAAGAGAGACACTGAGTCAGAGATATTTATTGTATTTAGTGTATTTATGTATTTTTGTTTAGGAAAATAAAAATACTCTCATGGAAGAAATTGAAATAATAAAATTAATAGTTTTGTTAAATTTTCATACTAATATCTTTAATAAAATAGTCCAGGGGGAGAAAACAAAACAAAAGACTAACTAAAGGCTTTGCTACCACTAAACAATGTAATAATCCATCAGCCGTGTTCATTCACATTTTCCTTTGAGGATTAATTATAGACAGAAACTAGGATTTTCACGCTTTCAAAATCAGTAAGTTTAGATCACTGGGTCTGAGGATTACTTTTGATCCATGCAGACAACGAGGGTATCTCTAAAATATTATTAACCAAACATAGAACACTGCACTGCAAAGGGACGGGACACACAGGTTCTGACATTAAAAGGACACACGCGTGCAGCCCTTCAACTTTTTAGTTCTGGTGGTTTTGTTAACGCAATTTATAACAACGATGTTTGTTGATATGTCTTCCACATTTGCAATCCTACGACAGATAAAACCCCAACCCTTCCAACAGAACAGCTTATAGAACGCTCCAAAAACAAGGTCACGCAGAGAATTAGCATGACATGCAAAGCTCTACAACTGTTCTTGCCTATTCCTGTCACAAAGGCTTTCTAATCACCAAGCCACCAGTTGGGTGAAGACTTCCTCCTCACTATCATTAGCATTTGCCTCTCCACAGCTGAATAGGAGAGCTTTTTTTATTATTATTCTAACATTAAAAAAAAAAAAAAAAAAAAAGTTCAATCTCATGTTTCCAACCTGGTCTCCAAAGTCCTCCGGGAACTTCCACAGTACCACTGGATCTGTAAATAATTGACAGACAGCATTAATCAGAGGCAAAGGAACAGAGTATTACAGTCAGAGTACATTAATATTAAAGAGAGGGTCAGCTTAGCGTCAAGCTTTGAGGCAAGTGCAAAAACGTATCTAAAAACTAAGGAAGATACTGGATTATTAAAAAGACTCATTTCATATTTATGAAACTATGTGTTTATTGCTTTACATACAGTAGCAGGTTATAACGTAACAAACTATTTTCACATGCAATTCTTTCTCTTTAACCTTTGAGTACTTGGGTTTTTAAGCACTTGTTCAATTTTAACATTTTAATTTAATTCGTGAAGTGATGCAAAACCTCTTTCCATCTAAGGAGAAAAAAAAATAAAATATGTACAATGATAAGAAGGGGGGAAAAAAAAGATCTCTACGAGGTATAGAAAAGCGCTATTTGTGCTAAGAGCTGCAGCCTCTTGGATACCTGAGGAGCTGCTGGGATTCCCATCTTCTGAGAAGCCAAGATCTGGGAAAGGCATTCGGATTTCCAGGGCAGTCTCCAAGGCTAGCCCTGCCTGACAGAGTAAGCACTTCCTATTGCTACACTCTGCATCGGAACCAGAGGGTTCCTCCATTTTTGGCAGAGGATGGAGGCTTCTACTCTTTATCCCCCCACCACTGATGGCAGCTTCATTCCCAGGCGCCGATTTGCAATCCCGCTATTCGAGAGGTGCCCACTCACCCCGAGCTGGAGACTGAAGCCAGCATCCCTCCTTCCCCCTAAACCAGCAGTGGGACACACAGGTCGGGCGGGCTGGAAAATCCAACTCCTCAGTCAGCTCATTTCCTCACTTCCATCTACTTGAAACCTGAGGTTTTTGACCAAAAAAAGCGGCCATTTGACTCTTCTTACTGGACAAATATATTTTTGCTCTTAAGATGATCGGAGGAGGATTCTGCAGCTATTATTTACGAAAATGTATGTATTTTGTACAAGGAATCTTCCTCAATCTACTATGGGGAGCGAGAACTGTTGGAGACAGACATGAAACGAGATAAGCTGCTATATTTATTCAAATATGAGAGCCAATAAATGCAGTTAATTAAATAGAGACCTTATTTCCCATCTATTTTGTGTGTAGTTAAATTACAAACGCATCTGTGTAACGCTCAGATACAAGAGGAGATGGAATACCTCAATGCCTACACCGTAATGGATCTCTTTTATTCCAATTTAGTACCATGAGAAAGAAAATACATATCAATGATCGCTGATAAATTCAATCAGCAGCAAGCATGGTAACAGATACCAAACATTCACTGTTAAGTAATTCACAGGTGATGTGGTTAAAAAAAAAGAAAAAGAAAAAAAAAAAAGGCAAGCAACCCCACACCAGAAACTGTGTGGAATCCAAATAAACACCTTAAAAATGCCCTCTTCCAGGGCTACACGCTGAACCAGATGAGGGAACTCTCCAAGACCAAACCAACCATCTGGAATTTTTTGGGCCAGCGTCGACTAGATCAGTTCCCCAAAACCATTGGTTTTATGTCGGAAAAAAAAAAGGGAAGAAAAACTGGGGAATGGGGAGTTGTGGTGAGAATAGATTGGGACTGCTTCACCCAGTGGCAATCCAACCTTAATATTAGCTAGATGTTGTGAGATGCAAGCTGGTGACCAGCTACCTCTACTTCTGCTTCTTATCACCTATTTCTTGTTCAGAACTTCCCAAGAAACATTGAGTATACTGAATGCTTTAGCAACACAGAAATAAAATCATGGAGGGAGGGGTGGGGGAGGTTCACACTTCGTAAAATAATTCACATCTAAGCTTCTAAATGGGAAAAAAATGTAATTTCTTTGTTTCACTGCTATTAGCAGAAGTATGTCAGCTTTCCAAAAAGGCAGATCAGAACAGTAAAACCTCCAGGTGTAATTTTAAGCGCTCCCAATCAGGAGCAAAGTATGTTCTTAGAATTAAAGAAAACATGACTCTAGGTAGCCTGAGGTTTGGGGTCAAAAAATGGGTGAAGTTCCCACTTCAGTGAGGTGCCAACAGAGCCAAACAGCGTTTCACAGGAGCATTTCTTGCCTACTGGCAACAAGATCAACAACTAAATAACTTCTTTTGATGCTCTTATATGCCCACAGAGGTAAAACCTGCAACTCTAATTTAGTGCCCTGCTCAGTTTGCTATCTTCACTTCACGCTATTAGGCTGCTCTCATACTTTGGTCTCACTTGAAATAATAAAAACAACCCAAAAATAAATTCCAGTTCACCCAACTACAGGACTAACAACATGGATTTCCATGTCATGAGAGGATACTTCTATCACGAGACGGTAATTAAATCCGCATGATCCAAACAGGCAGAATAATGTTCTTAATACTCATGATGCAAACAAAAAAGAAAATATTCTTAACTCAATCCAAGAAAAACATTCAGTGCTACTTTCAGCAAAAAAATACACACTTTCAAGACTTCTCCATCCGCCTTGAGTTGGGTTTTTCAGTTGTTATTACTGGCTTTTAAGCAGTTATTTTAGTAGGTACTTGCCATATATTTATTAAGTAAGAAAATCTAATGTGATGTGTGCTTCAAAAATAAAGGTTACTATACTCTTTTTATGCCTTCACTCTCTGAAGCCAAGCCCTAACGCTTATAAAAAGCCTTGGGATTTTATGATAATTATCCAAGTCAGGGATTTGACTTTTTTCAAAAGATGATGTTTGTTTGTGCTTCTGGAGCTGGGCTCAGACAGCATCTGACACGTCTTTGCAGCAACTTCTCACGAGTGCTGCAGAGGAAGAAACAAAAGGGTACTGATTTAGAAATAAAAAGAGCAAGCATAATCCAATTCTGCAACTTTATGCACTTTATTTTCAGATTTACAAAGACTGAATTTTCTTTTCCCTGAGGATTACTTTCCAGATACCCCATCTGATCTGGCAATGTTAGGTCAATTTTATGCTGATTTTATGGGTGAGAGGATGCGAATCGCTCAGAAATAGCTGTTGCAAGAGTCTGCTGAGGAAACACCAAGGTTCTTCTCGTTTCCTAACAGACTTTGGGGGATAAATGTTTTGCACCAATTCTAAGTAAATGTAGCAGTAAGAGGAAATTAAGTGCACACATAAAATAGTTCATGCGTTTCACATGTAAATGTATATATACGCGTGTAAACAGATACACGTAGATGCAAGCATCACTTCTTCCGACGCCTACTGCATCCAGGGCAGACATTTCCCACAAAAAGTACATCTTGGCACACGCCAGCAGCGCTTGAAATTCTTTTAGTAAAGATCCCCACAGCATCGGAAAGTCCATCTCCCAGGTGCAAACCTCACACCGCCGTGACGCGGTGGCTGATGCGCGCGTCACTCGACGCGGCTAGTGACATCTGACTTACGAGATCACAAATGATGCAGAAGGAGTCAACTAAAAGTCAGTGTATATATATTTTAAAAGAAAGCTTTTTATAATAAAATTCCGAAAGAACCAGTTAAGCCCCTGAGGACCAGAATTAGAAGCAGCTGCAGCTCTTGGTACAAGTCCGAAGAGAGACAAGCATGGGAAGGTTTGCTGAGGGACCAAAAGTTAAGAGTACAGTATACTTGATACAAAGAGAAAAGTGAGTCACAAGCAATGCTTAAAAATAAAAGTTTTAAAAACGCTGCAGTCTGGAAGTGCTCCACAAGTAAAATGTGGGTAAGTATGATACATGCTAAGAGGGAAACCTCACATATCCTCAAGGTAAGTAATTCCTCCCCAAAATTCTATTCCTATAGAGGTAACTTCATAAAGCATATCATCCATATTTTTAGGAAAATTACTTCTAACACATTTTAACTTCTGTAACAAATATAGGAATATAGAAGTACTATTTCTCACGGCAGAGTAGATTAGAGAAGAGGCACATTTGAAACCATGAAAAAAATAAAAAGAGAGAAAGATGATGAGTGGTAACTTTCCCAAAAATTCAGTAGTTAAATATATTCTAAAAATACTTTTCACAATCATCAAGCTCGTGGATTATAAACAGCACCCAAAAATACAACAGAGTAAGTTAATTAGCACACATTCAATTTGGTAATGGAAGAGAAATTGTAAACACATGCTGAGAAACATCATCTCAGGTTATTCTCTTGATAGCAACATAGAGTAATTTCAGATGGAACATTACAGCAAAAGTAAAATTAAATAGATGAAGCAGTCCAATATTCTGCCTGGAAAGGACAAATGTCATCCTTGTGGGTTTTACAGAACAGAACGGACAAAAAGACTGCCAAGCAGAGTTGGTCATGGCTTGGGACAGAGGAACGGGCTGGATGACAGCTCAGGATCCCTCCAACTACATTTTCTCTGGTGCTGAAAATTGAAAAAAAGCTGTCAGTGTGGAGGGGAGAGAAGAGACTGGGGCCAGGAGCTATGGAGGTGGAGAAGAAATGCAGTGAGGAAAAGGAAGGCAGCAAAGCAAAGTTTCCTGCAGACTGTTCTTCTTTCTTGTGTGGAAGACAAGAAAAAAAAAAAAAAGAAGTTCCAGATTGTTTTTCTTACTTAAATATGAGAATGCAAGCCATAAAGCTGAAAAGATACATCATTACAAGCACACATTTAAGCAATAAGGAGAACCGATTTTTTTAGAATAAGTAGCTTTCAGCAATAAAAAATTTGCTCTCTAAACCAAATTTATAATACAGCTGCTGTTCAAAGTCAAAAATCTGCTACATACTTAGACAAATTTTAAAGAAACCTGCAACAATAATTATGATGCTTTTGTGTCAATGTAGCATTTTACTACTACAAGAGTAATTCAGAAACAAAATACGAGGTGGACATGCAATGCAACCATTTTCACAGACTAAATCACCTGATGAAAAAATCAGCATTCACATAAAAAGATTACTGCTTAAAAAAAACCACAGACTTCTGCATATCACACAAAATCCTACCAGCCACCGGAGGAAAAGCAACATGCCATGGAAAAAGGGAGGAAGAAAGGAGTTACAGCATATTCCAAGCATCA